CTACTGTCCCGCATCTGAATTATGAAATTAACAAAGCAAATATTTATCACACAAAAGTAATAGCCACCATAAAAATTTAGAACAGCACGGCCATAAGCAGGGTCAGTAATAGGACTCAACCCGCCAAGCTGCTAAGAAATGACAAATTGGGTTAATAAAAATTAGACTCGTTTTAAAAACAGATCTTTTAAACTCATAACTGTCAAGACCAAACCCGTGGCAGGCTAACCCACAGGGTTGCAGGCCAGCTCATTTTATTTTTTCAAAATTTTTTTCCCTTCCTCAAATATAATTATGTTTACTACTTTGGCCTTTGTCTCATTCTTATTATTTAAAATTACCATAATATAATATATCTTTTACTATATATTAAGAATTTTACTTTTGACAAAGTTAGTTGAGTAAAAAAAAGGTGATTATAATTATGAAGCTTAAGAAAATAATTTCACAATTTCCTATTATTCTTCGAACTATATCAACATTGAATAGTAGTTCATGATTGAACACTTGATAGTGATTTGTAACATTGTGTTTGTATTATTATATTTAGATTTGCTATGTTTTAATTTGGGATGTATGTTTAATCATTTAGGATGATGAATCATGTGTGCTTATAGTAGTATTTGGAATATTTGAAACTTTAGATTTCATATTTTATTTATGATAATTTCTATATGCATATTTTATTTTAGGTGTTTAAGAATTAGAATAAATTTTATTAAAAAAATTGAAGGCACAAAAATTTTTTTTGAAAACAAGTCATGACGAGTTGGGTTGGAAAAATATCAGCCTGCCAGAATTCAATCTTTTAGACCGGCTTGTCGCTTCTTGAACTTGTCACGAGTCAATCCATAACCAGGTTGGCTCATATTACCAGTTTTAAAGGGTGTTTAGCAAAACCAAAACTTAGGTTTCAGAATTACTTTTCGCAAAACGAGGTAACCTCCTCCACATATTTACTTCGTAATCCGTAAAAATCACTTCTGAAACTATGGTTTGGTTTCAATCCAAACACCCCTTTAGTCACAGGAGACGTAGGAAGATGTTGTCAAACCAATTGAAAGAGAAACAGGATGAAGACCAAATTCTTTTGCAATACTGAGGTACTCCTGCAAGGCGGAGAACATGGGCATTAAAATAATCAGATAAGAAGTGAACAGGGAATAAATATTTTTAATAATTACGGTTGGCCATGGGATTCCTCTATTGACATTCAAATATTAGATGCATCATGATGTGACAAGGCATAGCAAGAAATGAAAACAACCCTTCCGAAAAAAGTCCTTTCGTCATTGCTTGTGACTTGATTTTGTTTTAATGAAGGTGGAAACAGAAGAACTTTGTGGATTCAACAAACGAGTTACGTCAAAGATGTTCTTTTTTTTTTTTTTGGCAAAAGGTCAAAGATGTTCTAAAGCACACAAAAATGTTAGCGAATATTCAATTTTGATATGTGGAACAGTGCACTACTACAGGAAACATGCAGAAATAAGAAGACACGAATATTCAATTTGATAAAGATATCAGTCAAGTAAATACAGGAAAAAAGACATAAAAAAAATAAAAAAAATAAAAAAATAACAAGGTATTATTTTGCTAGAAAAATGAATGCAAAGATAGAGACAAAAAATGTGTTTTCATTTCATTTTCTTTCTATATATAAAGAAAAAAATTAGGAAAAAAAAGAGATGTAGGACTCATCTTATTTTCCTCTCAACTTTTCTTTCCTTCCCCTTTTCTTTTCTTATTCAAAGAGAGAAAACTCACTTTTCTCCCTCATTTTCCTCCTAATTTTTTTTTCCTCTCATTTTCTCTCCATCCAAACATAACACAAAGCATGAAATGTCTTAGTTTTTTTTTTTTTGCCCAAAAAAATATGATATGTCCTCAATAGGGCTCAATTTGCTAATCAAATTAAGTTAAAGATAGTAAAAGAGTTGAACATTTCATTTAAGAATTGTGATCAAAATGAGCTAAAACGCACACATCAAAATTAAGTAAAAAACCTTGTTAAATATAAACTTCAATTGACCGTGGAGAAAAATTTTGGCCTCCCTTTTTTTTTTTTTAAATGCAACTTTAACTAACACAAAATAAAGTTGGAGTTTCTCAATCAACCACTTATGAGCAAATATCCATCTCTAGAATAACGGTCAAAGTATGGGCAAATATCAATCTCAAAAATCTTGTTAAACTGGTTTTATACCACGTGATGGATGTCATAATTTGAAATATTCCAAGAGAAGAATAAACACCTCACTACAAGTAATCTCCACATGATTATATATTACTTCTAGTCTTAATATAAGACCTTATTTAATTTTTATTTTGGTTCTAAATATAAGATCATAATCCATTTTGTTTATCATATTTATTCATTTTTTTTAAAATAGTCTTTCTAATAATAATAGTTCTGGCCAATATACTTGATTAGTAATGATATTTTTGAAAAAACAATATATATTTATTATAAATAACTAACTTAATTTATTTTTTTAATCTACTCAAATTAATCAACTAATTTTAATTTTTATATTTGGTATCGGAAGTAGTAATTAAACGCAACAAATAAATGTTAGCACAACATCAACAAATATGGCAGCAACTTGAGTCTTGAAATATATAAAACTACAAAACTACCATCTATGTATATTATACGTATAAGAAAGTTGTATATAATGAATGTTATATATATTAAATAAAATCATATACACACACACACACCTTAGCTTGATACTTGACCCTACCCGACATTTGGCTCTATTTGAAAATGCCTAATTTTTTTTGGATATTCTTCCGGTCTTAAATATAAGAATTATTTTGTAATGTAAATTATACTATAAAATAGATCTTAGATTTATAACTGGGATTGGATGAATAATGAGGGCATTAGGCTCTCATAAACAGATAAACACTCATGGGGAGGACTGATGATGTTTAACAATAATATATTAGATAATTGTTATAAACATTATAATTATGCTTGGATCGTTATATCAAAGAATGAGGCTTTTGATCTTCCATCTCATATTGAATGACATCTTGCCATATATAATCTCTAAATATTGTGGGGTTTTTATTTTTTTTACTATTTATTCCCTGTAGACTTTAATTGCACAATTAAGTTGTTTAATTCTCTTCTTTTTACATTTATAACTCTGTAGGTTAATCTTTAATGTTAGTGTCTTGTAAATAATTAAAAAGAGGAGATGCAGATGCTTTTTTTTTTTTTGGGTTGGAAAGGAGATGTACACACATTTGGGATAATGAAATGGAATAAGAACCACTTGCTCTTTCTCTCCACTCATCTCTCTCATATCTCCAATTAGGACTGTTCACGGGACGGATCGGATCGGGACAAGCTCGTCCCGGTTCCATCCCGATGAACAGTAACTGGACAAAAAATCTGTCCTGTGTTCCGGTCCGTCTCGGGGTTGTTCCGGTCCCGGTCGGGACGGGACCGGGATGTCCCGAAGTTTTTTTAAAAAATTTTTTAATTTATTTTAATTTTAAAAAAAAATCTGATTTTTTTAATTATATTTTGTTAGGCTTAAACCTTATAAAAACATCTTTTTATTTTCTTTTTTATTTGTTTGGACACTCTTAAACAAAAGCTCAAAATATTACATATAATAGTCATTAAAAACTCTAAACAAAAGCTTTTAACACAATAAAAACTTACTAAAAATTCTAATCATCAATAATCTCAAATCATTAACAAATATAAAAACTCTAAATAAATATATCTATTGTTCCATACAATAGTCTCAAATTTTAAAAAAATATGAAAAAAATGATATTATATAAATAAGATAAAAAATTAAAAAATTAAAAAAAAAAATCGAGACGGGTCGTCCCATCCCTGTTTCTTTTTTGTCCTGTCTCGGTTTGTCCCGTCCCGTCCCAATAAGACCGGGACCAGAACGGGCCGACAGGGACAGGCTGGCTTTGAACACCCCTATCCCCAATCACTCTTGTGTTTTTCTTATTTTCATAACAATAATTATATTTACCATTATAGCATAATAATGATAATAGTGATGATGATGAAGATAATAATAATGATTAAGGTATAAATTTGTTTTGAAAATTTTCAATACTGGGCATTTAAAAGTTTTTTTTACTATAAAATTCTAGGAATATCGTCTCACACTGTTAAAACATTAATATTGATCATTAATGTTTTTAATATAAAAAACTCGTTGATGTTTGCTAAAACATATAAATTGCCGTTAAGCTGTAAATTACCAAAAAGAAAATCTATAACTGGGTTTCTAAAATTTGAAAATGAGCTTTCAGATTTTTTTATCTGAACTAAACCTTCTCAATTCACGTGTTAACATAAAGATAAAACCCCGCCCCCCCAAAAAAAAAGAAAAAAAATCATTCATTCATTCATTTTAAATCTCTGTATTAAAATCAAACAGGCGCATCTTCCTTCCCCAGCCACCACCGTCTCCGTCTTTATCCTTCCCAAACTCCATGCATTTCCAGCGGTGAAGATCTCAACGCCACTTTCTCCAGATTCATAGACTTTTGTCTCTTGCAATGGCGGAAACCATTCTTAGTCCCGCGTATCCCTCCCGTCACCGTCCTCCCTTCTTCTTCTTCTTCTTCAGCCTCTTTCCTCGTCTGGATTTCTGATCTCCCATCTCAAATCCCGTTTGAACGAGCGAACAAAAATTAGTTCCAATTGGGATCACACTTGTTGATATCCCATCTAAGTTATACCAAAAAAAAAAAAACTCGGGGTTAGCTGGACTACAAGTCTATAACTCATACCGGTTGATTCCGGTTCAATCTTTCCCGGTTCAGATAATAATTCAGACCGGACAAGTGGCCGGTTTAATTTCGGATCCAGTCCGGTTTTTGAACAGTCACGGATGAAAAGGAGCAGCATCCGGCTGCTCAATGATCGTATTTTATAATTACCTTGTAGCAGAAAAAGACAAAGTTTTGCCTCCAAACGTACTTGTCCTCTTCCCTCCCCTTCCCCCCCTTGCTTCGTCACCGTTGCGTTTGCACTTGGAGGTGGAGCGGTACTTCGGCGCCCATTTCCGTCCGTTTCTCTATCACCTTCTCATTCTCACACTGCTGTTCTTCGAGGTCGAATTCGGCGCCTCAGCTGGTTCTACGTTCACCTTGTAAGGTAGTTTGTTGTCGTTCTAATCAAATGTAAGTCTGGATTTTGGCTGTCTGCGCAACTCAGGAATGCATAACGTCTCTGCCTCCCACACCAGTGAAGTGTCTCGAATACCATATATGCATACTATTTATCTTAATCGAATAGCAAAATGAATGCCAACGTTTGCACAAAGAACAACATAGTGCTCGTATTATCAAGTTTCTTTTTATCACAATTGTTGAACAAGTCGTCCTGTTACGTATAACGCATGGCAACCGGCATCTTGGTTGTGGACCTGGTTATTTTGGCTTCTAGTTATGCAAAAACTGTAGCATGTGCGTATATTTGATGCTGAAGGTCCTTATGTTGTGGAGAGGAACTAAAACTCCGAAATTTTGGTATGATATAAACTAGCTTATCAGAGCCAACGGATTAAAATTCTCCATGCAAAACCTGATAGTCTGAAGAAAATTGATCAAGTTTTCCTTTTTCACTGGGTGAAGGGAAATTTTTTGTAGGAAATCAGTGAACCTGATTTTTGGTTAGGTGGGAGAAATACCCCTATTTTCCCCCGAGTGAGCCCAGGCCATCTAAGTTATAAGACAACGAAGTTTCCAAATGTTCATACCTGAAGGTATTTAGCTATCACATTAACAGTTTTAATTAACAGGCCATCTAACCATGTTTTAACTAGAATGCTATAGATTAGGAATTGAGAGGAAGAAACATACTAAATGGAACTCCTCTCATAACTGATGGTACTAGCAGTTTCTTGCACAGTTGTTCCTTTATTTACCTGTGGATAATCCTGGTCTCTATGGAAGCTGAATTTATATGATTCTTATAGACATGCATATCACAAAAAATGCCACTAGTTATTTGTTTTAATTTTCCCTCTTGCAGGCTCCATTTCTTTATTCACGAAAGGAAATTATTTATTTTGCTGTTGCTGGTCTTATTGAGATCAATTCCTTTCTGAAGTCTATCATCTTGTGAATCTTTAACTGACTAAAAGGGCTCTGATATGCAGATATTATACTGATCCGTGAGGAACATTTTGGTAATGCCATGCTAAAGATATTGGTTGAGGCTCAGAAGGAGCGGACAGTTCTCTGCAAGAACAATACAAGGTATACATGTTTATACATATATTATTACTGTGTAACAATGAAATGTGACTGGGAGAGATGACGGGAAGCGCAAAGAGGAGTAGAAAATAATGGTAATAAATAAACGTGGGGATATAATTCTTATTCTTTTTGGGTTGATTGAAATTGGAGGGGTTGGCAGTTTTGTCTGGTATGATTGAACGTACAGGTAAAACCATATATGTTTTTGTTTGGCATCACGAAAGAATAAATTCTGACGCATCTTTACCTTTATTTCATCTCATTCTTTAGAGATGAAGCACATTCCTTTTTAGTGCAGAGAAGAAATGATACTAAATTCGTCAATTATTATCCTTTCAGCTATACTTATACAAGTATATAGCCCTTTATATTACTTAATATTATGGACCATGAATCATGCGACTTTCACTTATCTTTGCTTCCATTAACCTACTAGCTAAGTTGTGGTTTATGCTATGTTAAAATCAGATTTGTTTTGAGATCAAAATGAAGTTCCATTCCTCCTTGTCTATCGCTTTGCATCTGCTGATATGGTGGGTTTTTTTTTCCCGAAGCATCCATAAGGCATGAAATCTGGGTGTCTCTTGTAGGATGTTGTAAAACCCGATGTGCTACAAAACCTTATTATTTTGGACAAAACGTGGGGTAAATTAATTTTACGTCCCCAAATTAAGGCTTAGTTAAAACTTTGTAGAATCTTTAGAAGGAATCAAACTATTTAAAACATTGTAAAATCTTTAAAAGGAATTTTAGACTGGAAAAAAATCTTTTATTTTACCCCTTTCACCTCAATTGTTACCTCAGATTTGGTTCGACAGATTTAACTCCCCTCCCTTAATTCGACTTAGAAAAGTTTGAAGGGGCTCTCCAAATGGTGATGCCCCTTTCCGGTTGACTTCTACTATATTGCATGGCTGCTGAGGTTCTTGTTTGATATCAATATCCTATCAAATGAAATTGCATCTTTATACTATGATTTCAAAAACTGTTTTCTTCTTCTTCTTTTTTTTCTTGTTATTTTGGGATCCTTATTTTCCTTCATCTTTTTGTTGTTTGTTTCCTTTTGTGTGACCATTTTATTGCACTGTAAGCTCTGGGATTTGTTAAGTGATATTATCTTTTTTAAGGCAATGGTAAGGTTTGTGATTTAGCTCATGGCTGTGCACGATGGGTTTGTGGTGTTATTAACCAAAAACAAGTTGAGATTTGAAAAACCAGAGTAATTTCATGGGATGATCATTTGAGTGATATAGGGGGATCAAAGTAATTTCATGTTCTGATGATCAGTTGGATGATATTTTGTCCCCTTGAATCAGTGTTAATTCTTGTGCCCTTTTTCATATCGTGGGATAGAGAGCTATTTGCAACCTTAGGTTGTTTTCATTTAGATGTATTCCATTGACTTTTGTTTGGCCCTTAATCATTGCAAGATACACAAGAGCTCTGTTATGTTCCTAGTGCTTCTAAATTTGTTCTTTTCAGGAGGATGACTGAAGTACCTGAGCATGCCTTTTCTCCTCAAGTAATGAATTTCTTGTATGTGGTAGTCCTATTTAAAGGTCTCTTAAATGCATTTGATTAGCCACGAACTATTAACTAGTTGCTTGGAGAGTAATTGAGCTCAGGCGGTTAGAAAATGGTGATTGCTGTTGGTCATCTTGCGTAATAAGAAAATAAGGAATTAAAAAAAAAATGGATATAAACATCGGAGTGAATTGAATTTCTGGAAGTTGCTATTGCAATCCATTATTAATTTTCAGTTAACCTTCAGGCATCATTTTAACCATTGGTTTTGAGATGTGAAATTTAAGAATTGCTGAAATAACTTGTAATTTGTATCATTAAATGCATTTCTTATTTTTTTTGATGATGTGTTGCATCCCATTTCTTCAAACCCATATCGGTGTTTTCATCTGGTTGATACCAGTTATACTAGTTATTTCCTAGTTTGCTTTTTGAATGGATGGGGAGGGCTGAGGGGTTAGGGTTAGGGATGAACAGAGCCGTCTGCAAACCTAGTGTACCTTCCCAAGAGAGAGAAAAACAGGCGGGTTTGGAAAATATGTGGGATGGGCAACAAGCACACTTATGGCCTAGTCCGCACCTACCCATATATTTGTAAAACCTATCAGAATACAATACAGAGACAGAACTGAGAAGCTTTACCCCTATCAGAACTTCACTATGTTTCACATTTACCTCATCAAGGTGAGTGCAATGTGAAACCAATGTTCAACCATAATTAGAGGTTATAGTCCTTTATATGTGATCATCTTTAATGAGTTTGATCACTAGCACTAACCATGGCAATTATAAGAGATTTGGCATTCTAAAATACTACACAAATTGTAAAATATGATGGACAGTTCATTCTTAAGTCCTTTATGCATCTTTAAATTCATTCTCTATAAACCTTTTAAACCCTTGTAATGGAGATATTTTATTGGGGAAAAAAAAATCTTTTATGGAACTGACCTGATCTTTTTTGCCAGAATTGAGCAGATATAAATACGAGTTTTGAAAAGAATACAATCTTGATCCCTCTGAATATAAAATTTGCAAACTACAGCGTCATTGTTCAGAAAAGGAAGAAGCAATTGTAAAACTCACCTTCAACCCTGCACCGTTTCCAATGGCTGCAAAACAACCACTGATAATATCTGACAGGAATCAGATGAGGAAATGGTCGAGGATGATGAGATCCCAAGGCAAAACAGTGGGCTTTGTGCCCACCATGGGCTTCCTTCATGAAGGCCACCTTTCTCTCGTCAGGGAAGCTCACCGTCACACCGATGTAGTCGTTGTCTCAATCTATGTAAACCCAGGTCAATTTTCCCCAACTGAAGACCTATCTGTTTATCCATCCGATTTTGACGGTGATGTCCGAAAGCTGATGGCTGTGCCTGGCAGTGTTGATGTTGTATTCCACCCCCACAATCTCTATGAATATGAGGGAACTAACAAGAAGAAATCTACAAGTATGATTAATAATGTAGTAGTCTTGTCTTGCATTGAGCAAAAGGGTATGGGGCATGAGACTTGGGTCAGAGTTGAGAATTTGGAACAGGGTCTTTGTGGAAAGAGCAGGCCTATTTTCTTCAGAGGAGTTGCTACGGTGGTGACCAAGTTGTTTAATATAGTGGACCCCGATGTTGCTGTGTTTGGAAAAAAAGATTATCAGCAGTGGCGAATAATTCAGAGAATGGTAAGAATGTTGAGAAACATCCGTGCCTTGTTTACTTCATTGGAAAGTGGAAGAAAAGAAAAGATGACTTCTAGCTGTTATAATGCGCTCACCCTGTGGCCTTATTTATTCTGTTTACCAACTATGTTTTGAGTCTGGAATCTAATTGTTGATGTCAGTTTATTATTTTGTTTGGAAGTAAACCGTGAAATGAGCTATTTAAGTATGAATCTTTCATTCAAAATTTCTACGTGGCACTGTAAGTGCTGAGCTGCTAATGCTGGGGTTGCATCCCTACATGTGGAGCCTATGTGGTCTTATGCTAGCATTCAATCTCTGCCCTCATGGGGCACTCGATAGTACTCTTTCTTTCTTTCAATTCCATAGCTCCCCTTCTATTCAAACGAGTAACAAAAGAGATTTTTGTAGTCTACTTGCTTATGCATGTGAAATTTTATCTGGTTTGAGTTACTTCATTGTTTATTTGGAAATATGGAGCCATAAACTTGACAAGGAAGCAAAGTACTAGGATCATGATTTATAGGAGTGAAATTATTACATTGTTAGGCTATTATCTTTGATTGTAACAGTGGTCGTTATGCTCAATTTATTTTCGTACTCTGTTGGTTATGATATTGGTTGTTAAATCTTTTTGTGCTGTTTTTCTTGCTAGTAATGGATAGACTGGATGACTTCCTGTAGGTTAGGGATCTTGACTTTCCCATAGAAGTGGTAGGTTCTGCAATAATACGTGACAGTGATGGCCTGGCAATGAGTTCTCGCAATGTGCGTCTTTCACCTAAAGAGAGGGAGCAGGTATCTTTCATTAAATCTTATTGTGTAATTTCTTGAAATAACCTGATATTGCATATTAAGCTTCTACCACAAGGTAAAAATGATCAAGAGCTAATGACTCATTTTTCAATACTAATCACTCCATATTTTGGAGTCAGCTGCAGTATTTTCTTGTCCGTCTATCTTCAATCCGCACTTAAAATTATACTCTCCTGTCCTTCAATCATTTCCAGGCACTATCTATAAACAAATCATTGCTGGGAGCTAAATCTGCTGCAGCAAATGGCCAAATAGATTGTAATAAGCTGAAAAACTTCGTCATCCAAGCCATAACTGAAGCTGGTGGGAGGATTGACTATGCCGAGGTAAGATGTTAAAATCTATTTAATCTTTCTCTATTTAATGCTAGAAATTATAAATACACTGATTAATTTAAGCATTTATGTATGTTCCTTTACATATAATTATATGACAGGCTGGTAACTAATCTAGACTGTACCCTAGACCATTTTCTGCCACTAACCCATGGTCTAACCATAATGTAACAAGAAGTGCGAGGATTTGGATTATTCAAAATGCCAGTGGCTTGTCACATTTTAACTTTTTTGGTTGGACCACAAAATATAATCTTGTGCCAAAGTAGCATTGACCGGCTAGGAATGCTAAATTGACATTGCCGGTGATGGAAGCATTCCATAGACATTGGTGTATACACATATCAGCATATCAAATGAACCATGAGCAATTTATAATTTGACCTGGGATCATTGAAATCTTTTCATCTCAATGCCAATTTATATGTTTCTGCATGCAGATTGTAGATCAAGAGAGTTTAGAGGTTGTGGAATCCATTGAGGCTCCTGTTGTCTTTTGTGTTGCTGCATGGTTTGGGAAAGTCAGGCTTATAGACAATACAGAAATCAACTTGTAATTTGCTTGTTTGAATCACAGCCTCTTCGTCTTGTAATCATTCCTTGGATTTTTGGGATTGGGACATGCAGATGAACATTTTTTAAGTAGTCACTAATAACGTCATGAACTCATGTTGAGTTGTAGAAAAGATTCACATGACCCCTAGGGAATTCTTTTTTTAAACCTCAACCACAGGATGTGCAAGAACTCATCACAGCTCAACACCTGAGGAATTCTGCTTAGTCTTTCTTCTAGTTTATACAGTTCATGTAGACTGACCATGAGGAAAGATGTAAGAATTTCTTTTCCTCTAGGGAAAAATAAAGATTTCAATTGAGAAAAATGTTGAGAATTCTTTATTGCCGAGTTTAATAGAATAATGTTGGTGGTGATGGTGATGGTGGTCTGATTGTCAAAAGTTGGGACGCGGCCAACACCCTTGTGGTGTAGTGGCATGTAGGGTGCTGCTCTATGTTGGCACCAATTGCAGGTTGCCAACTCAAAAATTGGAAAGAAAAAAAAAAAGGTGGGACGTGGAATATACCATCTTGAGTTTAATTGTTTAAATCCTTGTTGATACATTGCTTCATATATTTAAGTAAAAAAACTCAGTAGCAAATATATTAAACTTTAGTGCGGAGGCGAAACTAAAATTGGTCAATGTTGTGGGATGGGAACCATTGATATATCGGTTTTTTGGTTTATAAAAAGTTAAGGACCTTGAGATGTTGACTGGTTTTAACTCCCAATCATATTCCATTATCTCATGGACTTGCATTGATAGAAGGCTGTAGTTCCTGGAGCTGCCTTTGGTGAGTAACATATCAGTAAGGATTTCTGAATCTGATTCGATAATGACCTTCTTGAATCCGAAATCCCATGCCAATTTAATTCCCTTGAATATAGCCCATTCCTTTGTTAAATTGAAAATCATATCCGTCCGGTCATGTAGTCCAGCAGAAAAAATTTGTAAGGTACACCTGGGATTTAAAATTGCCATCTATAGTGATTCAGCATAAAAGCAATCTCTCAAGATGTGGAGCACATTGATAGAATTGTCTTTACGAACCAGACCTATAAAAGTAAAATTAGCAAGATACGTGAAAGAGGAAAATCACTTTCTATTGTCCAGGTAGGGGTGTTCATGATGCCCAATAGCCCGGTATGCCCGCCCGTGCCCACAAAAAAACGCCCTGCCCAGCCCAAAAAGAAGTGGCCCGAAGAAAAAATGGGCATGTTTGGGCAGGGCTAATCACGGGCAGGGCTGGGCCACGGGCATGGCATGCGGCCCTGCCCATTTGGCCCTGCCCAAAAAAATATATATGTATTTGTGATTATTTATATTATAATATGTATTTTTTTTGCTAGAATTATAATAAATATAGTGCAATATTAAGATATTATATTTCAATACAAAGGAAATTGCTCCATAAGACTCTAGATTTTTAAAGTTTTAGTTATTTTAGAAATACCACCTTTTTTTTTTAACTTTTCTAAATTACTTTGCTATGTACTATAATTGTCTTTTAACTTTTTCATGTTGATATTACTTCATATATCATGAAATTATACTAATTTGAATGTGACATATAGAACACTATAGATTATATTGAATCATAAGTTAATAATATAATTGAATATGTTAACGTAGCTTGTATCGTGGAGATTGATGCAAATCATTTGAACTTTAAGGCTTTAATTATAATTTTTTATTGTCTTGTTTTTTAAAAAACAAGGATATTATTTAATTCCTGGAGTATAGATATTTGTTAAAACATATGGTAGTATTTTAAATTTCAAGACTTGAATTGTAACATTGGGCAAGAAAAGCCCGCCCTGCCCAGCCCGCATTAGCCCTGCCCAAAATGTCTAGGGCTTCTAGTGGGCCGGGCCGGGCAGCGGGCTGCATTTTACAGCCCGCATATCTTTCGGGCTGGGCATCGGGCAGGGGTCCTGCCCTGCCCAGCCCTGCCCATGCACACCCCTATGTCCAGGCCACTGACCTCAAGTTTCCTACTGTTTTAGAGAAATATACTGAGCATATTGAGTTACTTTAGGGTGGCTATAGGCCTTACCTAGGAAAGGGGCGTATTTGGGAACGTGTTACTCACTTTTGGGCCTTATATTAGCCGTGGATGTATTTGGGGAAAGGGAGGACTTATTTTGTGATCTGAGAATAGTGAGGAGAGCTCTAGCCTCTCCAATGCCAGTGTCGGGTGGAGGAAGATAGTCTTTCTTCATCATTTGCCTTTCTCTTTAGTGTGTTTTTCTTAGTGTTCTAATTCTTGTGTTTTTCTTAGTGTTGTAATTCTTTATCATCTTGGAGGAAGATTATTGTGAGTTAATCAAATTTCAGTGTTGTTTCTCCATTATTTCTATTTGGGCTCTATCACACAGTCTCAGAAGCTACAAATTGAAGAAATGCTTGGCCATTTACTTCTGCACTCATTGGTGGCAGTTTGTAGTTATAAGCTAACCGTAAGAAGACTCATTTTTTTCTGCTCCTTTCCATTTCCAAATCATTTTTATAAGTTTTGCTGTAGAGATTTGGAGGCGGCCTTTTCTATTTGGAAATGGTCAGTTTTGACCGTAAAGCAACCATTTGGTGTGGAACTCCAAGTCATCACATCTCCACTAGCATGAGGCATCAGCCGCAAAAGCAGAAATAAGTCTCTGAACACATTCGTTTGCGAAAGCATTTGCAAGCCATGAGAAGTCCCAAGTTCTCATGTATCACCCGGTCCATGAATCTGCTGTTTTCTTCTTGAGGGGAAGTGGTCTCAAGCACAAAGTCTCTGTGTTTTCGTCCATTCAGGAGCAATGATCATTGAAGAAATTCACTGAAACACTTTCTTATCTGCCATTTAGTGCCTTCATTAATAATCTCACTTTGTTTTTTTTTTTTTTTTAAAAAAAAGACATCTGAGTAGAGGTATCTTGATCGCGAAGTCTCCATCCGAATTAATCGATTGCTTAGATACTCGCTAATAAGATCTAGAAAAAGCGCCTAATATTAAATGACCGGAGTCTAGCAGTCTCTAGCAGGAATAGGACTGGTGTAGGCTAATTAGTTGGTTCAGCTTGTATTTTTTTAGTTGATATTGGAGTTTACAGATTTTTGGTGATTGTAGTTTTCCCTTTGATTTTGAAATAAAATGAAGTATTATTCAGCTCAAAAAAATGACCGGAAGGTTATAAAACAATATAAGATATATAAATACACATGCATACTTTGGATTAGTGTATATATTCCTCCGGTCCTTATTATAAGACCCAATTTGACTTTTTATTTGGTCCTAATTATAAGACCCAATCCATTTTGTCTTTTATATTTATGCATTTTTTTTCCAAGATAATCCTTCTAATAATGATAGTTTTAGCCAATATACTTAATTAGCAAGGATATTTTAGGAATGACAACACTTATTTATTATAAATAACCAACTTAACTTACTTCCTTAATCTCCTCAAATAAGTCAATTGGGTCTTATAATTAGGACCGGAGGAGTACATACATAAGCCAGTGTATATGATTGACGTGAAGGTTCCATGTGGAAATAATGATGAAGGAATAGAATAGATGATAAGATATATGTTGGCAAGAAGCTACCGGTTGCAAAGGAACATGTTTGGTGGCAGAGTGATGGGACAGCCAACTCCTCAATTGAGATGAAAGACATGATAATAGAGGCAACTACCATATATGAAGTGCCCTGCAAACCGTTGAGGAGTGAACTAGTTTCATCAGAATCAATCTACGGTAATTATGTCATTAAATTTATTAAAAAAATAAAATAATTTTAAATTGTACTTTTATTCAAAATTATGAATCATGTCTAGGGAGCGATTAAAGAGAATTGCATCAAACTTTATATAGGAATAAATTTGAAAAAAAATTGCAATTATATATCACTTGATGACTCGTAATAATAGGAGCCACTTAGTTCTTTTAGTAAATGATACTCCTCTAGTCCTATTTATAGAGTAGAGAAATAAAATATTTTTTGGTCTTATTTATAGCACATTGAGAGAAATTTTTTATACGAATGTACAATTTTACCATTCATTTATTATTGTATTAACTTTGTTTACATGAAATATAATGTATATTACATAAGGATAACGTTAAAAAATTATTGAATTTTAAATTAAAGTTAATAAAATTTAAGATTTTTCTTGGTCTGTATAAAACATGTTAAAAATGATTTATAAATAGGATCAGAGGAGTATCTTATAATAACACATTCGGCAATAGTCAATCAAACACAAGAAAAAGCCAATGACAATGTAATGAATGAGAGGCAACATGTTTGGTTCCCAAACACACAACTTGTCAGTACTTGGCATTAAATTATATTCCTCTTATCCTATTTATAAATTATTAAAAAAAATATTTTTTATAATATTTATAAATCATATCATTAAATTTTTTATATGAATATACAAATTTACCTTTTATTTATTATTATGTAGTGTAAGTTATTTTAATCAATTTATCAGAACCAAGAAATTATAATTAATTTATTAAATTTGTTTCAAATTAAATTTTTTTCTAACTTTACTCATATTAAATAGTAATTAATGCTTTTTTTTTAAATTTTGTCTTTACAGTTGATGCTTAAATATAACTTTTTGTTTTTTTTTTCCTTCACAACCTCATTTAATATATGTAAAGTTGGAAAAAAATTTAAATTTAAAACAGATTTAGTGAGTCAAATATCATTTTTTTATTTTGATGAATTAATTAAAGTGATTTATATTGTGAATCGGAAGTATATTGTTGTATCTAAGGTTGTCAAACTTACAAGTCTAATCAAACTCGTGATAGAGATGTAAACTCTAATCATAAACTCATAAGAGTTTACTTTTATTAATAAATTAGTATTAAAAGTATATAACTAAATAATTAAAATATAAAAAATAACAACAATTTTATTTAAATATATTTTAAATCCCAATAATTGAAATTCAATCCATCAACTTTCATAATTTACTATATTCAATAGAGAAATTTTTATGAAATTTATATATAAAATCACTAAATATACCTAAAT